CCTGTTTACAAGAGAAGATAACTCTGCAATACGCAAAGACGGAATGGCAATGACGATAAGATCTTAAGTTCTATGGGACCGACAGTGCTGGTACTTTTTGAGAGTGATACATAGGGGATATAATTTGTATTTACTGGCCGACATTTAATCTTCCTTATATTATGTATCCACTTTTGCCTTGTGATTGCCTGAGTCAGTGGTCGAGGCGAGGTGGATGGAGGTGCGGATCTAGTTAACCATTGATTCGAATTTTCAGTCTGTTGTGATATTTTAGGTGGGGAGGAGAGGGTTCCCCTTTGCCGGAGGGGCTCGTGTATGAAGGAGTAAATGATGAACCATTACAGGTGAGCTGATAGAGTAACAGTCCACGAGAATTGTCTGTGCAGAAAGATACTGGTATACATCTATACAAAATTCACGTTAGGGTGATGACATTTTATGAAGTATAAATATTTCCAAATCGTATTTATTTAAACCGAACATAATATTTATTATAATAGAATATCGTTTTGAATTCTTCTTATTAAAACATAATATATTCAAAATAATACACATACAAAATGTAATTAAATCAGAGGGTTTTTTTTAATGTTACTGATTCGTAATTTGTGCTTGCGTACTGTATCGTACCCTGGACTAACAGCTACATCTTTGATAGATGACCGGCGGCAGTGCTGCCCAGAGTTCTACGGTACAAAGTCTGGACGCCGCCCTGGGGATAACGCACGCTCCGGGTAAGCAGAGCCTACTCCTCCGCATGTGTATGTTGGGGTGGGGGGAGAAAAGGGGGTACAATAATGTATATATGGAACGCAGGTCTTTACTTGCATTGCAGAAAAGTAGATAGCTAATTGGTTAATTTGCGATATTATTTTCTTTCCTAAGATATAAATACTAAACCTCACATAAAGAATAATAAAGATATAACTTTAGGTCTGTTTGGTGTTGTAGACATCCAAGCGTTCTTTGACAAAATGAAGCCATATATGCCTCGCTCCCACCGACAGTTTTTGGACGACATCCAGACCAGGTCAAGGATCGCCACCTATGGTGAGTTGTATACCTTGCAACGTGTACATTGTATGATGTAACGACGTTTTTCATTGGTCAGAATTAGGGCCTTGTTGAACAACAGAACGCGTGCCTGTCCCTGTTATCCGTCTAGAGATACAGAGGAATTACTTATTTTTTTATACAGTTATACACACGTGTACAGCGTTGTAATCTAGTACATGCATTTACTTGATGCCTTTTCGCGTGGTCAACACCGACTTTGACCATTCTGTTGTTCTGCAATATAAAAAAAAAATATAAAAATTAAAACAATTACAACAATTATGAAACAAATTATTTCAACTTATTTTAATCACTCTTGTT